ATGCACGGATGTAGCCATCGAGTTTGGAGTAAACCACATGCTGAGTTTGTTCAAAGACAGCTGGGAAAAGCCACAATGTGTTCATCAACTTTGAGATGCTACTGATAGGATAAAGACTAATTTCTTTAGTGACTACAGACTGTTTAAAAGACCAATTGTGAATGTCTTGCAAGTTGTTTGTTAATGCTAGTGGGTTTAGCATTTAATATGCTAACTGGCCATGTGCAGTAAATGCATTTGATTTAGTGTTGCTGTTGAACCGCTATGTACTGTATTTTGTGATTTGTGAGTATTCTAGTAGCATTGGTTGTAGTTTAAATGAGTTAAACATCTTTAAATGACCGCATTACTGTGTGTAGTGACTCATATATTTATAAATTTTCTCTGTATAGGTTATTAAGCTAAGCATCTGAGCTAAGCTTCTGAATTAAACTCTGAAAATAAGCAAAGGAAGATCAAGTTGCTGCTGAAAGATTTTCAATAAATTGCTTTGATGATGAAGAATCGGATGTTTTGAGTTATTCCATGCACCCTCTGAAGTTGATTAAAGCCATTTTCAAGTTTGGGCAGACATTGAGGCTGAGAAGAATCCTTAAATAACTTGACAACCCAGGAAGAATACATTCATTATTGGCAGCACAAAGTAACTCAATTAAAGAAATGAACATTTTCACAGTATAAAGTCTGATTATAAATGGGCACCATACCTGAGCAGTATTAGAGACTATGGTCAGAGAAAGCTGCTGATGAAGTCCGGCGTGAGTGAGCACAGTCTGAGTGTGGAGACAGAGAGCTCACACTGAGCTGAAGAATATATAAAAACATTAGAGACACCTATTTCACTATATAGCTCAAGCTTTCCCTGAATTCCAGCAAGCGAGCAGCAAAGAACAACCTCTCGTATATATTGGGAGAGAAGGAAAAGTGTATCCAGCTGGCAGCGCAGTGTGTGTCAGCCTGCCATCGAATGAGGGACAAAGACTGAACCCTTTCTTCCATTTCACTGCTCTTTGTATTCATTTACTTCATGTGTTTGCTTATTGCTATAACGTGTATAAGATGGACTTTTTTAAATCTGTATGATTGTATAATATATTTATTGCTAAGGCAACATTGTGATATGTTACACAGTCATGACAATAAAGGTTATTTGAATTTAATTGAACTGAGAGAAAGTGTGTGTGTGTGTGAGAGAGAGAGAGAGAGACAGAATGTGTGTGTGTGTGTGTGTGTGTGTGTGTGTGTGTGTGTGAGAGAGAGAGAGACAGAATGTGTGTGTGTGTGTGTGTGTGTGTGTGTGTGAAAAGGGCGTTGGGCTTTAAACAGGCAACCAAACACAGCTGTCAAGATGAATGATGACTTGTTTCTTATCATTGGGTGTAGTGGTACAGCACTGGCTTGATATTATTGTTCTGCTTGAATGATTAGTGAGGGAAACACACAGTCAGCATCTCATGTGATATGTTTAAGACACACACGTCTGATATCACATCATTCAGCCACAGACACACAGCAGTCACACTTCAGTACTGCGTCATATTTAAGGATAAATCATCAAAGGTGTGCAGCTCTAAAAGTAATTGATCAGTTTCATATTTTTCTGCTACTTTCTGAAAGAATTGGCATCTTTTCATGTTAGGTTTCTAAGCATGTTCCTCATAACTGCCTCGTAACAGGTCGGCTCACTCTCTTCTCTTGCATTGTTTAATATGTTCTGATTGATGGTGATGGGAATATTTTTACCCAAAGGGGAGTGAAGAGTTGGCAGAATGAAGTGGGGTGTGGATCTGTGAGTTAAGAGACGAGGGGAGGAAGGTCAGAATGAAACGCAAGCTCCTGCTTTAAGGGGATTACTAAACTTAAACATATTATTCTTGTTTATTTATTAAAGCTGGAGCCAGCAGTGTACTAAATCATTATACTGTCCACTGAGCACTTTTGTAATATCATGACCGGGTTCTGCGTTCTTATACAGAAACTCAACACAAAAGATTATGTTTATTATAATTGGACACGGGCCATGTATAGTGCAAGAAACAGCTCAAATGTTTTGTAGGTGGTTACAATACACAGACACACACACTCTCACTTAATCTCTCTCCCTCACACACACACACACACACACACACGCTCTCTCTCTCACACACACACACAC